TCTCTCTCTCTCTCTCTCACACACACACACACACACACACACACACACACACACACACACACACACACACACACACACATCCCAGCAGTCCCTTGCTGAGCTGCTTTCACCCTCCATCTATCCCTCCTATTAACCCCTACTGTTGCTCTCATCCGGATCTGCAACACCAGCTTCAACCAGACTGGAAGAGAGTATCTTGAGCAGTTGGCGAAAATAGACTGCTCAGCACTCAGTGATCTCCTTCTTCGAGTGCGGGAAAAAAAAAAGTGGGCAGGCAGTCAAGAAAATGCCCTCCCATCAAGGACAGCATTGTTTTTGGTTGCCTGCCTCAAAGCTGTGCACAAATCCCTACAATCTACTCCCCCCCTATAAACAACTCTTCCCCTGTCTCTCTGACCCCACTTCCCCTCAGACAGGGCAAGAGAAATTCGCAACATCTTTTCACACCTTTCTCCTCCAACCACACCTCACCCCCACCACCTCCATCATTAGCCTCTGCAACTGTTTCCACCCCCTCCCCCCTCGCCCCTCCCTCGTCCCCCCTCCCCCCACCCCCTTCCACCATCGTGTTGAATAGAACGTACGTACATTTTTTTGGGGGTAAGAAGGTAGGGGGAATTGGACCTTGTTTGGTGAGTGCCACCGGAAATTCAGTTTGGTGAGTGGTGCAGAGAGGCGTAAAACTGCCAGTACACGGCCGCAGCCTTGCTGAAAATGTTTCGGCCGCAGCCTTGCTGAAACTGTTTCGGCCGCAGCCTTGCTGAAAATGTTTCGTCCGGAAAAGTCGGCACCCGCGCGCCGCAGATACAATACATCGGGGGGGGAGACTGACAGGAGCCCGTGAAGGGTGTACTGGTGGTGGGACCACGACCCAGTGGGTCGTGAATGGTTGCTTGTTCCTGTTCATCAGGATGTAACGTCAGGTAGGCAGCCTAGCGGCGTTCCACGTGGCACATACGTGTCGTAGGTCCATCGTGAAGCAATTGGGAAAGTCGACAGGAGTTCATCCTTTCTGGGCGACACAACATGTGGCCCTCCGAATGAACCTATTCGACCCGGAAGGCCACGTCCAAGCCCGAAGGATATGGTTTGGTTGTGCACAGTTGTTCGTTTCTTGTGGGCGGCGCAGAGTGACCTACACACAAGGACTTGTCTGGATGTCTCGCATCGCAACTATGGACATTGATGGACGTATCTGATTGCAATCACGTTCAAAGGTCAGTCGAAAAGTCCTACCAACTTCCCCCGAGTACAACGCACGTTGATTTTTTTTTATTTTTTTTTTCGCACGTTGATTATCGCGTATGTATGAATGTACTACGAGTGCCCGATCATGTTCTATTCGCGCGAAGACGGTAGTGAGAGTAGGCTGTGGTTGTGCGCCATCACAGAAGGGGTACCGGCCTACAGTAGTCGCCACTCGGCATCTGCCAAGATTTTGAACGCATTCGGACGGAAAGGTGACGAGATGCATTCAAAATGTTGGCGGATGGCGAGTGGTGCAACGAGGCCGTATGTCCTGCCTTCGAGAAAAGTCGCCAGACTTCCCGCAGGTGACGCAGAGGCCAACATTCGGCGAGGCCTCGGCGCTGCCTAGAATCTCTGCCCTTTTTTTTTTTTTTTGTATGTATAATTTGGACCATTTCTCGATTTATGCGTGTCTTCCTTGAGGGGCCATGCTAATCTTCTCTGTATCGTGTCCCGTAGGACTCTGGGAGGCACAGCGACTGGCCACTCAGATGATGCTTGGTCCCTCTGCTACCGGCTGTCCCCTCGCCGGTGTCCCCCATAGAGGGTTCCCTGAAGGCAATAAGGCCACCCTGGGCTGAAAAGGCCACCTGGTGTCAGATTAGACAAGAAGATTGAATTTAGCTGGGCTGGTTAGTCCGATGACAATCGGACCTTTCCCTTTTTGTTCTTTTTCTTTTTTATGGAAAGAATAAATAAAATAGGAAACCCCTAACATCACCTATCATCTGATCACAGGCAACTTCCGTCCCTCTTCCCTGTTCGTTTCGGAGGGGAGACATCACAGTCCCAGGTGTACCGGTAGTGCCAAGTTCCCCATTTTCAGTCCTGCGTTCGACAGTCATTGGGCGGGAAGTTTCAGCGGTCCAGGCCTGTTTTGCGCGCGCTCTTGTCCGACAAGAGTGTGCCGGGCAACCAACCACCTGTGCCGATGGGACAAGATTTGTCGATCGAACAGAGCGGCCTGTTTCATTGGAATGATCAAGCAATCTTGCCGTTCAATTGATATGACCGTTACGAAGTCTTCTTGCTATGATGAGAGGATTGCGTCTGTCGAAGTGAATTCGCTCACAGGGGAGGAGAGTGGGGGACTGATGTGCAGTTAGGAAGGGGATTGCTTGCGTTGAAGACCGATCGGTCGTGCGGCACGTGCATGTCGGAAGGTGGCTCTCATGGACCAATGTGGCGGGACCGTAGGGAAGAGTGGAGCGGTCGGGATGAGCAAAGGTCGGTTACCCGAAGGGAGGCCAAGGAAGCGGTGATCCGCATGAAGAGATGAGAGAAGGGGGGGGAAAGGGAGGGAGGGAGGGGGGGAAAGCAGAGAGAGACGAGGAGAGAAAGGCGGGTGGTGAGGTATTGTCAGTCGCGCGTCACCCGGGCGACCGACGAGTAGTGTAGGAAGAAGAAAACGCTGGTACAAGTAATAACGGCCTAAAGAAAGCAAGTTGGGAAAGGTACATTGGGCGCCAAGACATTACCTCGGGAAGAAGACGCGGTCGTGAGTGAGTGCAACGTTTTGTATGTGCCCGATTTGCCTTAGAGAGACAACGACGACAGCAAAAGAAGTCCCGTCAGGTGCATGGATCCCCACTATAATCTGGAGGTGTTGTGCGTGTGCATGTGTGTGTGGTCATTTTTCCGTGCGCTTGTGAGTGTTTTGTTTTGTGTTTGTGTTGAGAGAGAGAGAGAGAGAGAGAGAGAGAGAGAGAGAGAGAGAGAGAGAGAGAGAGAGAGAGAGAGAGAGAGAGAGAG